TGTGAGAGTTATTATCGTCCCTTTTAGGTTTGGGGGGTGTTGGGGTTTAGGAGTTTTTTAGGGAGCGAAGGTCCACACAGGCTTTTGTTCTTACAGTAGTTCCTATGTCGCGAATTGTGGTTGCAAGGCTCAAGTCAATCTGTGTGACGTCCTCTAAAGTACGTTCCCTTTTGAGTTTCCCGACCTTGAAGCCCTGAAACCCTGAAGCCCCTTAAACCCGAAGCCCTAAACCCTAAGCCCTGAAGCCCCTTCAACCCTAAAACCCTAAACCTGAATGCTAAACCCCATGCATCCGCCAATTGGCTTAGGGTTCGAAGCATGGGGACCTGCCCTTTTCTACCCGTTGCGTTTAGGGTTTAGGGTTTAGGGTTTCGGGTCGAGGGTTTAGGGGACTCCCCCCCAACACCTCGAAGCCTAGGTTGATCTTATCTTGTTCCCGGCGGACCGCCTCTTGTCGGGCAGTTTTTGCATTACTGGGTAGGTCTAGGATTTAGGGTGTAGGGTTTAGGGTAAACCCAAAACCCTAAACCCTAAACCCTAAGCCCTTGGGTTATGTTTTTTCCTTTTTTGTTTCTTGGGTTTAAGAGGAACAGATTCAGGAGGGATGTTCTTGAGATAGGCGTTAGGGGGCTAAACTTGGTCCTCATCCCCGTGAACCCTAAACCCTAAACCCTAAACCCTAAACCCTAAACCCTAAACCCTAAACCCTAAACCCTAAACCCTAAACCCTAAACCCTAAACCCTAAACCCTAAACCCTAAACCCTAAACCCTAAACCCTAAACCCCCCCCCCCCCCCCCCCCCCCCGGAGTTCGGACACCTCTCAACCCGGAAGACCCCTTATGCCCGCTCTTTTGGCTTCGAGGCTTTGGGAGGTTTGGGTACGCACAGTGGGCCCTGGTCCAGGGGTTTAGGGTTCAGGGTTCAGAGTTTAGGGTTAGCATTTTTGGCTTCCTCAAACCCGGACTATTCAGCCTGCTTTGCCGAAAGGAACTTAGATCAACGTTCCCACGCCCGAAATCCTCAACTGCAACGACCCTGAACCTCAAAACACCTTGCAAATCCCAGGAAGGTGTAAGGCTTGAACCCTAAACGTGGAGCTGTAGGACTTTAGGACTTCCGGCTGAAGGGCATCCCATCATCCGTGCCTTGTTGTGGGTTGCATGGGCACGCGAATTTTGATCTGCAGCATTCCGCGGCCATGTGGGCTCGCTTTGCCCCTAACCAGCTCCCAGCTTCATTCATGTCTTATGTAGGGTTTTCGGGTTTAGGGTTTTTGGGTTTAGGGCTTTAAGGGTTTGTCGGGCCCTTAGGGCCCTTAGGGTTTTTAGGGTTTTGGGGGTTTGTAGGGGGATGCTGCAGATTCGCATGCTCTCCGGGGAGGAGGTGGCGAGCATACCGGTGGAGGAGGTGAGCAACGTGCGGGAAGTGAAGCGGAGGCTGCAGCAGCTGCATGGCCTTCCTCCCCGCTTCAGGCAGTTTGGGGGTTTTAGGGTTTTAGGGTTTTAGGGGTTTTTAGGGTTTTAGGGTTTTAGGGTTTTAGGGGTTTCAGGGTTTTAGGGTTTTAGGGTTTTTAGGGTTTTAGGGTTTTAGGGTTTCAGGGTTTTGGGGTTTTAGGGTTTTAGGGTTTTAGGGTTTTAGGGTTTTAGGGTTTTAGGGTTTTAGTGTTTTAGTTCGGGTTTTGGGCTGCTTACCCGCTTCAGGCAGAGGCTCATCCTCCAGGGCGGCAATCTGGATGATGATGACAAGCCAGACCCCTCCCTGGACCTGGAGCTCGTTCTTCAAGCTTTCGCCCGGGCTTCCGAAACACAGGCGCGCGAGCTCGTAGCTGCTGCCACCAACGGCTCAGTCGACGAGGCGGGTGTGTCCAGGATAGGGCCACATATGATTCCGGGGCCTCACCCCTGCCAATGGTATTTCCAGCGGAAAACCGAAACCCAAGACCCCTTCCCCCCTGACTCTTGGCCCTTAGCCCTCAAGCCACTGCAAACCACAGGGGGGAGAGGCAAGACCCCAAACCCCTTCAGCTTAACCCAAAGCCCTAATCCCACCAGGAACCGAAGGGGAGAGGATACCGTGGGGCTGGGAGGAGGGTACCCCCTGGATCACGCAGCCGACAGCTTGTAAAGCTTCAAGGCCATACAGAGAGAACTCGCAGTACCAAGCCCCCCAGGTCGAGTCCATGCTGCAGTTGCCCCTGGACCCTAGCCTGGCGAACGAATTTGGCGAGACTCCGCTTCTTAGTAGCCCAGTGGTACCCTTTATCCTTTTTGTTTTTGGTTGCTGGGCTACTAAGTACCTTAATAGGAATTACCCCTAAACCCTAAACCCCAAACCCATATGGTCCCTGGGCCACCACAAGGCTTTTTTGCGCCTCTGCGGAGGGTCACGTGGAGGTCGTGCGCTTGCTGGCCGAGGCCGGTGCCGACATGGACGTGGCCGGCGAGGGCGGCTACACGGCCCTGATGGCTGCGGCTTACGGTGGGTACGCTGAGCCTTGGGGACCAAAAAGGAACCCTTAAATTGTGGGGGGGGGGGGGGGGGTCATCTGCACTATATACTAATTTCTATAATCCCTCCGAAGGTATTATGTACCATAAACCCTTTTTGGGCTCATTTCGTCCCTAAGGAAGTCGTTCGCTTGCTGCTGGAGGCCGGCGCTCACAAGCACATGGCCGACGACGAAGGCAACACAGCCCTCATGATCGCGTGTAAACGTGAATTTGTCGACGTCGTGCGTTTGCTGGTGGATGCTGGTGCCGACATGAACGTGGCCAACAAGCAAGGCTGTACAGCCCTGATGCTCGCAGCTTGCTGTGGCAATGCTGAGATCGTGCGTTTGCTGGTGGATGCTGGCGCGGACATGGAGGTGGCCGACAAGAAAGGGCGCACAGCCCTCGCGCTCGCGTCCAAACGTTTCGATGTTGAAGTCGTGCGTTTGCTGATGGAGGCCGGTGCCAAGAAGGATCCGAGCACAAGCTGGTGACACAGGGGCTGTTGCCCTAGACCCTAAACCCCAAACCCTAAACCCTAAACCCTAAACCCTAAACCCTACATCACACTTTAGGAGCCTCTGGCTCATGCCGCCGACCTTGCCGGCCCCAATGAAAAATGCTGCAATTCACCGGAGGCTCTTAAGCTTTGGGCATGACAGGAACAAACTATTTGGGTTTAGGGTTTAGGGTTTAGGGTTTAGGGTTTAGGGTTTAGGGTTTAGGGTTTAGGGTTTAGGGGTTCTCAGGAGGGGTATACGGAGGGAACCCTAGAAGGGAACCTTGATCTGATTCCCCTATATAACGCCTAGTTCTACCTTGTATAGTCCCTATATCCCTAAGTATCCCCTAAATAACCCCTCAATAACCCCTAAGGTCCCTTAAAAGGGTCCCTCCTTCAGCCCCTTGACATATACGTGAACCTTCCTTCACGTCTACACTGTCCACAAATATTTGGGGTTTAGGGCTGAGGGTTCAGGGTTTAGGGCCGCTTTGAGTTTGCAAACAAAAGGGTTCAAGGCCTCTGCAATCACAAGCAGAAAGTGCGAGGGTGGGGGGTTTACTGTTCGGCCGCGCGGCACCGGTTTATCGCCCTTGGTTGGATAGCTCTGGTGACTGTCTACACTATTAAGGGCAGAAGCGTGTAATCAAAAGGGACACACCTACACGAATTCTTATGACTCCTAAACCCAAACACCCGAAAACACCCTAAACACCCCAAACACCCAAAACACCCTACACACCCTAAACGCCTCCAAACCCTCAAAAGCACCCTCAACACCCCAAACCCTCCAAAAACGCCCTACAAGGATGGGCCATAAGGCCTTGTAGTCCCCATCATCAGTCCTAGAAAGGGCCTTATTCAAGAGGTTATAGGGTCTACCGGCCCATCCTGGCAACTTCCTATAAGGTTTAGGGTTCAGGGTTTAGGGTTTTTGTTTATTCAAGAGGTTATAGGGTCTACCGGCCCATCCTGGCAACTTCCTATAAGCCCCAAACACGAGAAACCCCGGGATGCCCCCAATTCCTGGAAGCCGCCAGCCTCGGTCCTCTCTTTGCCAACAGTTGGTTTTGGGGTTTGGGGTTTAGGGTTTAGGGTTTCGGGTTCCGGGTTCAGGGTTTAGGGTTTAGGGTTTAGGGTTTAGGGCACCAATTTCCCTAAACCCTATGTTGAGGGGTAACTCAAGAATTGCTCCTAAGCTGCAGTATCCCTAAGCCCCAAACCCTAAACCAAGAGCCCTAAACCAATGACCCTAAACCCCAAACCCCAAACCCTAAACAGCCAACTGACCCTAGGAAAATGGGTTCCCAAATCTTGAGCCTAATTCGCTTGAACTCTCCCCCCCAACCGCCCGTTAGTTAGGGTCTAGGGCTCAGAGTTTAGGTTTAGGGTTTAGGGTTTGGGGTTTAGGGTTTAGGGTTTGGGGTTTAGGGTTTAGGGTTCGCCTCAAGCGTTGAATCCCATCCGCGGTAGATGCAAAGCCCGGAGTACGAAAGCCCAAGCCCAGGAAGTCTAAACCCTCAAAACTGAACCCTAAACCCTAAACCCTAAGCCCAGGATGTTCCCTGGGCCTTCTTGCGACAGTATCTCAACGGCTTTGAGGATGGCTTCATCTACGTGCCTCCTAGGGTTTAGGGTTTGGGGTTTTGGGGTTTAGGGGGTCTTGTTGCGAATTTTGGTATTCAGCTCCTCACACTAGACCCTAAACCTGAAACCTTAAACCGGTTCTACAAGTTTTACAGATCTCAGCCGAAACCCTAAACTCTAAACCCGCGACTTAAACCCCTAGAAGCTCCTCGCAAAGCTACACGAAAGCATGTTGGGGTTCAGGCCCCTGATCCCCATTCCCCATTCCCCCCCCCCCCCCCAAACAAACAACAACAAGAAATAATCTACTCCCTAAACCCTAAACCCTAATCGGTTTTGGGGGTTCAGAGTTTATGGCGTCAAGGTTCAGGTTGAATCCCTAAACCCCTAAACACCCCAAGCCCCAGACCCTAAACCCTATTTCAACCCAAACCCTATATAAATCCACATGGTCGGATCGCTGAATTATGGTCCCTTGTCGGTGCCAAGAGGGGCTGCCTTATAATAAGGACCCTAAAGGGACCAGATTTCAGAGAACTGGCAATATACATAGATATAAACTCGAGTTCCCTTCCTTGGGAGTTGTTGGGCCCCAGGGAAGCTTTCTAGTAGCCTAAACCCTAAACCCTAAACCCTAAACCCTAAACCCTAAACCCTAAACCCTAAACCCTAAACCCTAAACCCTAAACCCTAAACCCTAAACCCTAAACCCTAAACCCTAAACCCTAAACCCTAAACCCGACAGACCCCTAGAGAGCCCGAACTACGAAGCCTAAGATCAAAAAGCCCAAAGCCAGCATCAGCCCCTGAGACGTGAACTTTCAGCCCCCAGTGAACCCTAAGAAGCCTTAGCAAGCCGAAAAGCCCCTAAACCCTTAACCCTTAAACCCTCAAACCCTCAAAACTTTAAACCCTTAAGCTCTTAAACCCTAAACCCTAAGCTCTTAAACCCTAAACCCTTAAACCCTCAAACCCTTAAACCCTAAACCCTAAGCTCTTAAACCCAAAACCCTTAAACCCGTAAACCCTTAAACCCTAAACCCTAAGCTCTTAAACCCTAAGCTCTTAAACCCTAAAACCCTTGAACCCTTAAACCTGAAACCCTTAAACCCTAAGCCCCAAGCCCTTAAACCTCAAACCCTAAACCCTTTAACCCTTTAACCCTTAAACCCTCAACCCTTAAACCCTTAAACCCTTAAGCCCTTAAGCCCTTAAACCCTTAAACCCTGAAACCCTACACCAAAAACCCTAAACCCCAAACCCTAAACCCTAAACCCCAGCCCTAAACCCTTAAACCCCTAAACCCTAAACCCTAAACGCTAAACCCTAAACCCTAAACCCTAAACCCTAAACCCTAAACCCTAAACCCTAAACCCTAAACCCTAAACCCTAAACCCTAAACCCTAAACCCTAAACAAACCCCGTAAACCTCGGCCGTGAAGGTGGCCTCGGGCGCGCGCAAGGGCACAGACCAAGCCAAGCGCGGAAGCTGCTGGCCTGGGATAGGGAGTTTTGGGTTTACCCTATAAACCCTAAACCCTAAACCCTAAACCCTAAACCCTAAACCCTAAACCGATACGTTTCCTTCATGGAGTGCGGGGGGTGTAGGGGAGGGAAGGGGCTTCGGGGCGCAGCGGCCTGGAACTTTCAGGCTTGGGGCCTGGGCTTTGCAGGCTTGGACTTGGATTTTCCTAAACCCTGAACCCTGGACCCTGGACCCTGGCCCTGAACCCTAAACCCTGAACCCTGTTGTTTCGGCTTGTGGTTAGTGTCCGGGAGAGCTCCCTGAAGTCATCCGCTCTCAGACAGTTTGACAGTTTTAGGGTTTAGGGTTTAGGGTTTAGGGTAATTAGCCTGGTGGTGCCCTGTACCGTGTTTTTGGTTCAAGGTTTCTTCTTAAAGTAACCAACCCTAAAAGGGTGCCCTTGTTGCAATGTGGTTGCTGGGCTACGAAGTACTAGATGCAATATTCTTTCTGATCGGGGCATCATAGTTTTTTGCTTGTATTAAAAAAAGAGTTCTTAAGCAAGTAGTAGTGCAGCCCAAACTTTAAATGTAGACTCTATAAAGCCCCAAAGAACGGACAACAAAAAGAACATGGATAATCTCAAAGCCGCCCGCGTTACTTTTTGAGAGGGGTGTCGGTGCTTTTAGGGGTGACCCTGGGTGGCCCCAAACCCTAAGCTTTCCCTAACCCTAAAGCCTGAACCCTGTTGTTTCGGCTTGTGGTTAGTGTCCCGGGAGAGCTCCCTGAATCAAGTCATCCGCTCTAAGACAGTTTCAGGGTTATGGGCTTAGGGTTTAGGGCTACTTGGGGTTTGTGGTTTAGGGCTTAGGGCCTAGGGTTTAGGGTTTGGGTTTAGGGTTTGGGATTCTCTGGTTTTCCTCACCTGAGAAGTGCAATCAGAGCATACAAACCCCATGGGGTGCAGAAGAGGCTTGTATACAAACGGTAGCTACCTGACCGAAACGGTCTTTTACCCTTATGCTGCAACCCCAACAAACTGGGTGTAGGATTTAGAGTGTTGGAGTTTGAACTCTAAACCCTAAACGCCAAACCTTAAACCCGATGTATTGAAAGGTCAGAGCTTCAGGTTGGGGTTCGCAAAACCCGACCCGTGACCCACGAGAGTCGGCCTTTGAGATGTTCCCCCCTTATACTAGCAGTCCTCAATAGGGATTCTAGTACCCCCTATTATCATCCGTATTATGGACTGTTAGCATGATAATAGGGGTACCGTGTATATACAGGGATTACAGGGTTTAGGGCTTAGGGTTTGCTATAATCCCTATTCAGGACTGCCAGTATAAGGCGGAACGTCCCAAGTCGGACCTTGAGCCAAGGTGACTGCCGTGCCGTGTGTGTACAGCCATGGGACAACCGGACCGGCAAAGGCGTTGTGTGTGCCTAAGCTGCGTTTGCCGTTGGCAACTCCTTAAACCCTAAACCCTAAACCCGTAAACCCCTCTGTACCCTTGAACGAAAACGAGCGACAAAGACTTCGCTACTTCGATCTCGCAAAGAAGCTTAGGGTTTAGAGGTTTAAGGTTCAGGGCTTAGGGTTCAGGGTGTAGGGTTTAGGGTTGGGAAATCACATGTTTAAAACGGGTGTGAAGTTGGCACTTCTCGTTTTTGCATCTCCCTACACCTGCAGGGCCCCAAAAACTTGAGTCCTTAAGGCTTCGAGTAGCCTAACTTCTAGTTCCCTGGGAGTAGAGGGTCTAGGGTTTAGGGTTCAGGGCTTAGGGTTTAGGGTCTAGCATGTTCCTAGTGGACCTTGCATATGCTGCAATTTGCCCGGCTAAGTCGCGGGGATTGAGGGCAACAGCCGACATGTCCGAAGTCCAAACCTGAAACTGGGGGGATGTTCCCCCTAAGGGGTTTGGGGTTGATAGGGTTTAGGGTTTAGGGTTTTTGGTTTAGGGTTTTAGGGTTTAGGGTTTAGGGTTTAGGGTTTAGGGTTTAGGGTTTAGGGTTTCGTTTAGGTACTAACAGTCCTTAACTTGTAGGGATGATAAATAGGGGGCGGTCGATAATCCCCATGAAGGGCTGTCAGTATAAGGGGGAACATCCCAACCTGAAACCTAAACCCTAAACCCTAAACCCTAAACCCCAAACCCTAAACCCTAAACCCTAAACCCTAAACCCTAAACCCTAAACCCTAAACCCTAAACCCTAAACCCTAAACGGGATGAACTCAGTGCAGCCCCTGGTGTGCTCAGGCATCAGCTGGTGGTCCAAGAATTACAAGAGCCTTGGGCTTTCCCCCCCGGGTTCTTAGTAGGGAATGAGAGAATGAGGTACCCTACGGTTTAGGGTTTAGGGTTTAGGGTTTAGGGTTTAGGGTTTAGGGTTTAGGGTTTAGGGTTTAGGGTTTAGGTCCTAGATATACCCTTTAGGGGACGACATAGGGTACCTCATTCCCTCGTTCCCTACTGAGAACCAGCCAGTTTTGCTAGCTTAGGAAACGGTTTGGAAGGGTAAAGTATGGACATCAGGAGGTTGAAGGATAGAGGATTGTGGGTTTTAACCCTAAGCCCTAAACCCCAGACCCTGAATTAAACCCTAAACCCCCAGGTTCCTAAGCCCATGCTGTAGGAGCACCTCAGCCACTCTGATCACAACGTGTGCAACCCAACGAAAGACCTTCAACAACCTCGGTTGTTTCGGGCTTAGGGGTTCAGGGGTTTAGGGTTTAGGGTTTAGGGTTTCAGGCTTAAGGGCTTAGGGGTTGAGGGGTTTAGGTGTTTATCAGTTTCGGGTTTAGGCCTCTAGGGGTTTAGGGGATTTGGCCCCTAGATGTTCTAGAGCTCATCGCGCGAACACCCTCCCAAAAAACACCCGAAAGCCCCAGGAAGTGGATTGCCGCGTACCAGCGTCCGGACAGCATCCTACACCGCTATGCCGTGCATCTCTTCAACTTTACCGTCGCTCCCGCAAGAATCAGGGGCTCAGGGGTTTAGGGTGTTCGGGTTTCCCTAAACCCTAAAACCTAAACCCTAAACCCTAAACTTGGGTTTCAGGGTTTGATGTGTAGGGTTTCAGGATTCGGGGGGGGGGGGGGGGGGGGCGTCGGCCTAGTGAAGGTATTATTTAGGGCTTAGGGTTTAAGGTTTGGGGTTTAGGGTTTAGGGTTTAGGAACTTGAGGGTTTCAGGTACAAAACCCACATGTCGACTGTATAAACACCGGGAACTGAGGTGAACTCGGACAACCTGGAGATCGAGCCAGGCATGGAGACAAGCGCCTGTGGCTTCGAGGGGCCTTTGTGGGGTTTAGGGTTTAGAGTTTAGGGTTTAGAGTTTAGGGCTTAGGGTTTAGGGTTTTGGGTTTTGGGCCTCGGGGGGGCTTCCAGGGGTAGGCTTTTCGTCTGGTTCTTCCCTACTAAGAACCAGCCAGTTTTGTTTTGGGCTTAGTTCAGGGTGTCGGTTTCCGGGTGTAGACGGCAAGTACAGTACCGCGGACATGGAGCCCTGAATGGTGACTTTGCTCAGGTTTTTTCCATAACCCTGAACCCCAAACCCTTACCCCGAACCCGAAACCCTGAATCCCTTACCTCAGGGCCTCAGCCCTGTCAAAGACTACCTGACGCCCTAAGTAAGCCTCACGGATCATACAAAGGCGTTTCGGGGGAGGGTTCAGGGTTCAGGGTTTAGGGTTTAGGGTTTAGGGTGAAACAAAAACCAATTAAGTTTGCAGAAACCTCGCAGGACTGGATGCCTTTGAAGGCTGCGTGTTTCTGTGGTCATTTGCACCGTAGATTGTGCACAGAGACACTTTGAAATTTCAAGTAAAGTGATGCCTCAGGGTCACTGCATGTTTTCATGAGATTCATGGTTGCAGATCCCAGCGAACATCATGAAATCACACCGTATTGCAAGAGTCTTCACAATCCGCTGCCCTACATTCTGAAGCCTTTGCAGCTATTGGGCTTTTCACGTGTTGTGTTTTCAACATCTTTCAGGTGCAAAGAACCTTTGTCGAGAGCCTTGTAAAATACCGCATCTCTTTGTTTCAATGGTTCGTCATTTTCATCAAATTCTAAGATGTCTTCATAACACGACCTGCTTTGAAGTTGTATGTGTGATGTACGAGTTGCAAGTCTAGTTTGAGTTGCTGTTCATGTTTCCGTCCAAGTTCTTGTAGTTGACTTTCGTTGTGCCTCTAAGCGTCTTCTCTTCAGTCCCTAAACCCTGAACCCTGAACCCTAAACCCTAAACCCTAAACCCCGAACCGAGACCTGCAAGAGCGCCTGCAACAAGTGACGTACCTGGCGCAGACCTTCGGTCCTGGGGCGCCCCGGCCGGTTCTGGAGCCCTGAACCCTAAACCCTAAACCCTAAACCCTAAATCCTAAACCCTAAACCCTAAACCCGATTCGAGTTTCGACTCTAGGGAGGCCCCTCCTCCCCGCCCCACAAATCATGGCCAAGAGTCCTTGAATCTAACTTGGGTATATGGGAGTAGGGTGTAGGGTTTTGTGTTCCTGGGCACCTTGGGCGGCCCAGGCAGGGGGGATGTAGGGATGGGTTGCGCGGGGGGTTCTGAATAATCTGAGCCCTAAACCCTAAACTCTAAACCCTACATCCTAAACCCTAAACCCTAAACCCTAAACCCTAAACCCTAAACCCTAAACCCTAAACCCTAAACCCTAAACCCTAAACCCTAAACTCTGTGAATTCATTGCGCAGGCTAGACCTTAGGCTTCAAGCAAACAACAACAACAAACCCTAAGCCCGTGTTTTTCAGTGTGCTTCTGTGGACCGACCTGGCAATAAGGAGCGCAGGCTTCGAAAGTCTCACTGGATTCGAAGATCCAAGCTAGAAGCCCTGTCTGCATGGACCCATCTCAGTTCTGCAGTATGGGTGCTTGGGCTAAACCCTAAACCCTAAACCCTAAACCCTAAAATTTTGTTTTGAAGGGGTATATAAGGGCTCCCCAAGCATGGGCCCATTGGGCCCTCAAACCCTAAACCCTTGCAACTATCTAAGGGTAGCTACATGGGCCCTTAATATGGCCCCTTGCCTCCCCTAGAGGGTTCAGAAGTATAGACCCTTGGTCTCTTTCTAAGGGCCCATATAAAGGGATCATGTAAAAACCCTCTGCAACTACCCTAACCCCCCACCCCTCAACCCTCAACCCTCAACCCTCAACCCTCAACCCTAAACCCTAAACCCTAAACCCTAAACCCCAAACCCCAAACCCTAAACCCTAAACCCCAGAGGTTCTTAGCTGCCGCTTCGACCCTATCGTGCACTACCGGAGCGTCCTGGGAGGGCCCGTGAGAGACAACCTCAAGGAGCGGTTCGGGGGTTTAGGGTTTAGGGTTTAGGGTTTAGGGTTTAGGGTTTAGGGTTTAGGGTTTAGGGTTTAGGGTTTAGGGGTTTAGGGTGCAGAGTCTTGGGGGGGGGGGGGGGGGGGGGGGGGGAGGGGAGGGTTTAGGGTTTGGGTTTAGGTTTCTTTTTTGCCCATGTTTTCTGGCATCTGAAGAAAAATCGCCCGCGAGGATGTAACTTGCATGTTAGGGTTTGAGGATGTTTCTTGGTTTACTAGCTTTTTTTTGAGGGGAGGGCGGCGTTTTTGGGGAGTCTTAGGGGTTCAGGGTTTAGGGTTTTGGCGGCCCTAGGAGTCGCTTTGCCTATGAGCCTGCATGGGCACTCATAACCCCAATTATAACTGTACTGAGAAGCCCCTTAAGTCCCCTAGGTAGGTTATAAGTAGACGTATAAGTGGGGTTATAAGTGCCCAAGAGCCTCCAAGTAGACCCTCCACCAGGGTTTAGGGCCCTGAGCGCAGCTGCCGAAGCTTCCTGACTTGCTCGAGTTACCTCATTTCAAGCCCCGTGTCCCTCCGGTGGTCTTGTTCAGAAAATACAGATTGAAACAAAATCATGAATCAGTCAAACGATACATGTCATGATGACGATTGACTTTTTGGAGAATAGTGTCTGGGGCGCGAGGTTTCGGGTTCTTTATCTGGCGGAGCGTCCCTTGCCCCAAGCTCTGAGAACCTGAAGGCCTCAGGCCCGAACCTCGAAAGCCGCGCGATTCTGGTTTCTTCCGGCTTTCGGCGCCCGGCATGCTCCGCATCCGGATGCTCTCTGGTCAAGAGGTGGCAAGGCTTCCCATGGAGGGGCTGGGCAACGTGAGAGAAGTGAAGCAGCAGTTAAGTCAGCTGCACGGCTTTCCGCCGAGATTCAGGCAGAGGCTCTTCCACCTGGGCACCAGCTTGGATCCCTGGAGACGAAATGAACCCTACAATTGGGGTCATATACCCTATAACTACTATAATTTTCCTATTAGGGTATATGAACCATTAAACCCTTTTAGGGTTCATCTATTCATTATAAGTCCCCAAGGATGATTCTGACACCTTCGGCGCAGAAGACCGGGACGTGGAGCTGGTAGTGCTCAACTTCTGCGGCACCTCCCGGGCACAATTGGACGAGCTCGTTGCTGCCGCCAGGGAGGGATCAGTGGAGAAGGCAGGGGTTTCAAGGATGACTGCAGATGGTAGACGCACATAAAATAGGAGGCCGCAAGGAGGACCCCGAGGACTCCTATGCATCGAAAAAATACCTGAAGCCTCAGGTCGAGTCCATGCTGCAACTGCCCCTGGACGCAAGTGTGGCAATGGCAGGTCGGGCGCCGCTTTCATGGGCTGCTGAGTTTGGCCACGTTGAAGTAGTGCGTTTGCTGGTGGACGCCGGCGCCGACAAGGACGCGGAAGACAACGATGGCCTCACAGCCCTGATGTTCGCAGCTGCGAATGGTCACGTCGAAGTCGTGCGATTGCTTGTGGAAGCTGGCGCCGGCAAGAATGTGGCCGACGACGAAGGCTGCACAGCCCGATTCCTCGCAGCTGCGAACGGTCACGTTGAAGTGGTGCGATTGCTGGTGGAGGCCGGCGCCAAGAAAGACCTGCCAGACATGTTTGGCCGCACAGCCCTGTTCGTAGCAGCTGGAACTGGCGATGTTGAAGCTGTGCAATTGCTTGTGAAAGCCGGCGCCCACAAGGACGTGGCTGGCGGCTGCAGACCCCTGATCCTCGCAGCTGCGCATGGTCACCTCGAAGTGCGATTGCTGATGGAGGCCGGCGTCGACAAGGACTTGTCCAGAAACGACGAAGGAGAGACATCCCTGATGGTCGCAGCTGCGCATGGCCACGTCGAAGTCGTGCGCTTGCTTCTGGAGGCTGGCGTCGACAAGGACGCATCCAACAACGATGGCAAGACAGCCTTGATGCTGGCAGCTCGCTCTGGCCACGTGGAAGCTACGCATGTTCTGGTGGAGGCCGGCGCGGGCAGGGACTTGTCCTGCAAAAGTGGCCATACAGCCGTCATGCTCGCAGCTTGTGATGGTCACGTTGAAGTCGTGCGATTGCTGCTGGAGGCTGGTGCCGACAAAGACTTGTCCTGCCACGATGGCTACACGGCACTTATGCTTGCAGCTCACAGTGGCCACGTCGAAGTCGTGCAGTTGCTGGTGGAAGCTGGTGCCGACAAGGACGTGGCCAACAAGGATGGCCAGACAGCCGTGATGCTCGCATCCGACTGAGGCCAGGTTGAAGTTTTGCGATTGCTGGAAGGGTCCGCCAAGAAGCGAAGGCGCGTCTCTTCAGCTTAGGGGAGGCATGAGCCCGGCGGAACACATGAATGGCTTCAAGCTTGCATCCCAGCCATGGCATTTTGTCAACCTTGAACCCTAAACCCTAAACCCTGATGTTTACCAACTCGACGTGGACCTCCAGACTGAGTCCAATACTGCAAGGGGTTTAGGGTTTAGGGTTTAGGGTAACTCCTGCCCAAATACCAGGCTTACACCCCTTTGTTGCAAGGGGGTGCAATGCACCAGCTGCCTCCTTAACAAAGACCACGGGCTTTGTGGGGCGCTTTGGGCTTTGGAGTTTCAAGGCATTCACATGCCACCTTCGCATTGTCATCTTTGGTACTGCGTGGTGGTGTGGGAGTTCACTAGTACTAGTAGGGCCTGCCTCCCCTGGTGCACTTCAAAACTCTAAACCCTCAAGCCAAAACCCCTGCAGCCTAACTCCTGGTGTACTATTATTTGGGAGTTTCCGAAGATAGGGTTTAGGGTTTGTATAGGGGTCAGGCTTTAGGGTTTAGGGCTTAGGGTACCCTTTTTGGGGGGTTCCCTTTAAGGAGATTCCAGTCTGCTTCGGGTATAAGAGGGGTACCCCTATTTGGAAATATAACCTATTTGCTGAAGAACCGTCCCAAAAAAGCAAAGGGTTCTTCCTTCTAGGGATTATTGTCGTTTGTTTTTGTCTGGGCTTTCTAAGCAAATGGTAGTTTATGTTTGTGGATTTAGGGTTTGGGGATCAGGGTTTAGGGTCTGGGGTTCAGGGTTTAGGGTTCCGAGGGGTTCTGGACTTAATGTAGGGGCCTTAAGAATTAGAACCTTGTGTTGGGGATTACTACTGTATTAAAAATATACAGGGACCACAAGGGAACATTATTGGTATTTATTCCGACCCCTGTATTAGGGTTTAGGAGCTGTTCCACCGTTGTCTAAGCTGCTGCACCACTGCCATTGCTCGCGCCCCAGCATGAATACATAGGTACAGGTCTGTACATGCATGAACATTTTCATAGTATCCTTACTGTTATTGCTTGCACATGTATATGTACACAACATGTGCCACATTTATGTATGTATGTGTGTGTCAATATGTAGACGTGTATTTATATATACTTATATATAGACAGATAGACATGTACATCCGCTCTTTCTCAGAGTCGACCCGCAACCGTAAACCCTAAACCCTACACCCTACGAACCCTAACTCTAAATCCCGAACCTTAAGCCCTAAACCCTACACCCTAAACTGCACCGAAGGACTTTGAAACCATCGTCCGGCACATTGGCGGCTTGGGTATCGACTACATCGTCTTCAGCTTTTGCCAGGTCTGGTTTGGGGTTTTGGAGGTTTTGGTGGGTTGGGGGTTCATTCAGCGGTTTAGGGTTTAGGGTTTAAGGCCTGAGTTATGGATGTAAGGTGCCGGGGTTATTTCAACCCTACAGACCTTATCAGCCCAACTTATCTCAACAAGTATGTTCCTCTGAGGTCTTACTATCGAAGCTCTGATAAGGTTTTTGCAAAGAAGGTCAAGCGCACGAGCAGGCTTAGGAATGCAACGGATTGCGAGACCCTGTCAATGTGCAGGGTGTTTAATTCAGGCTTCTAATGGGAAATTACAGGGGCTTTTCATAAAGGGCTCCAATGAAGGGCCCCGTATTAAGGGACCAATGCAACCACCCTAAGGGTTTATAGGGCTTATGGGGTTTATAGGGTTTAGGGGGCTTGTAGGGTTTACAGGGTTTGTAGGGTTTCTAGGGTTTGCAAGGTTGCTAGGGTGTACAGGGTTCATGGGGTTTATGGGGTTTATCTCGCTTGTAGGGTGTATTTATAGGCTTCATAGGTTTACAGGGTTTCTAGGGCTTCTAGAACTTTTTGGTGTTACAGTATAGGGTTTCTAAGAAGTTATAGGGTTTTTCGGGTGTATAGGTTTGGAGGGTTTATGGGGTTTATAGGGTTTTAGGGTTCAGTGACAAGTCGTTTATTTTTTGAAGCAACGCCCCCACCCCTGCGAAGCGGTCTGCCGCAAAAGCCTTGACCCTGAACCCCACGGTAACCCCAAGAATTCTTGAGAACCCTATGAACCCTATATAAAACCTTCTAAACCCTAATAAGCCATATGAACCCTGTAAACCCTGTAAATCCTATTTATGAACCCTCTAGACTCTATAAACCCTATAGACCCTATAAACCCTAACCTAAACCCTAAACCCTAAACCCTAAACCCTAAACCCTAAACCCTAAACCCTAAACCCTAAACCCTAAACCCTAAACCCCTAAACCCTAAACCCTTCGCCAGGCCTAAGGTTGGAACCATGGGCCCTTCGTGTCGTCCCGTTACGATATCCCCCTTGGGAAGTCTTATTTTTGTTTATATAAAACCCAAGAGGATATTGATCATATTGGTTTTATTGAGGTTCTAAGGGTTTAGGGTTTAGGGTTTAGGGTTTAGGGTTAGTGAACAGCTGGTAAAACCCTTAAACCCTAAACTCTACAGGGCTAAGCACGAAACCGTCAACCCTAAACCCAAGGGTTGCACCTCCTCTGCTTAGGGGTTTAGGGTTTAGGGTTTAGGGTTTAGGGTTTAGGGTTTAGGGTTTAGGGTTGAACTGAATGCTGAACTCTGAGCCCTCAAAACTTTACAGGGATCCGAAGTCGGGACCTGACGGTTCAGGGTTTAGGTGTATTTTGCAAGGAACCTAAATTCAGGGCCCTTTATTACATCTAGTGTGCATATGGGCTACGGTTTTATAACAAGGGGCCCAAATTAAGGGCCCATACTTCGGATCCATCTACCAAGCCCTAAACCCTAAACGCTAGACCCTAAACCCCAAACCCCAAACCCCCAAACCCCAAACCCCAAACCCCAAACCCCAAACCTTAAACCCTAAACCCTAAACCCTAAACCCTAAACCCTAAACCCTAAACCCTTCGCCAGGCCTACCCCAAGTCCGTTCGGAATATGAAAGCTGCGGGGCTCGAGCTGGTGACGCTGAACCGTGCTGAGCGCCTTCGCCATATCGTGTTTGAGGGGCTTTGGGGGGTCTGGGGTTTAGGGGTTCAGGGTTTAGGGTTTATGGTTTGGGGTTTGGGGGTTTAGGGTTCTGGGGTTTGGGGATGGTGGGGTTTGGGTTGGGACTTGCTTTGTTTGAGGCTTGGCTTTTGTTTGGGGGCTTCTTTGGTTTTGGGGGGCTTGGGATGCAGGGCGGTGATACGCTGAGCCTGCTAAGCCCTTCCACCCTGTTTTAGAATACCTCCCCTTCTATAAACCCTAAAGACCTGTAGGATTTTCGGGCCAGGGGTCCCAGGTCTCAAGGCCCCGAAGCCTAAACCTCAACACGCCAGACCTCCAAAACCCCTAAAGCTACCCCTAAAGCCCCCAAAACCCTGACTGTTTGCGTAAGTACCCCCCCCAAAAAAAAATAAAATGAAAAGAGATAATGTTCCCTACGTTGCCCTTCCAAGGAAGGTTTTTTTTTTTTTTTTTTTTTTTTTTTTTTTTTTTTTTTTTTTTTTTTTTTTTTAAATGGCGGGTTCTAAGCCAATGGAATTAACCCCCTTAAATCCTGTTTCACCAGCAAACACCCCTGTGTTCCTACGGGTACCTATGGAAAGTCCCCTAAACTCAACCACCCTAAACGCCATACAGAAAACAAAGAAAATAAAAACCCAAAAAACCAAAAAACCCTAAAAAAAACCCTAAAAAAATCACCTCCTAAAAAAACCCGTAAACCCCCGTAAAACCGAAACCCTAAAAGAAACAAAAAGAAACCCCTAAAAAAAACGCCTAAAACAAAAAAACCCAAAAACCCTAAAAACCCTAACCCTGGTGTTTGGAGTACCCCCTAACCCGCACTGTGAATCGGCACGCTAAGAGGACGGGGCTTGGTTGAACAACCCCCCCCCCCCCCCCCCCCGCTTGTATGAACTCGTCATGCTTGCCTCTACCCTAAACCCTAAACCCTAACCCTAAACCCTAAGATGTTGCAGAGGGAATGCGCCGTGCTGGACAGGCAGCCTGACTGCAAAGATGGGGCAGTTTTCTAAGTCCTGGTCCTGGCCCTTTTTGGGTTTAGGGCTTCGGGTTTCGGATTTCGGGTACCCAAATGCCCGAACTGAACCATGGACTCTGAACCACTATAATCCCTGCCCCCTGATACCCTTAAGCCCCGTAATCAGTCCTTGTCGGGGAGATAAAGCGTAGACAAAGCCCGAAAACCCTCATAGTCCCTGTAGAACCCTAACCCCTACGCCTATCCAGATTATCCAGAGGTCTAGGATCCAGGGTTCAGGGTTTAGGGTTGAGGGACGCCCCAACGACCCTGCAAAGGGTTTACACCACAAACCCTAACATTCGGGTTCAGGGCTGAAGGGTTTACCCTAAACCATAGGGCCGAGGGTTTAAGGGTTAGGGTTTAGGGACATTTGGGGCAGGGCATGGGATTTGTCGTGCCACCTAGCCATGCCAGCGCAGCATACTGCAATATTGCCCTAAACGCTGAAGCCCAAAAGGCCTAAACCCCAAAACCCTGAAGCCCGAAAACCCTCAACCTAAACGCAGCTTGCAAGCACCTTGCCGCCCAAGATAGACTTGACTCCTCGGAGGAGTCAGTCGGCCCTGGAGGAGGTTTAGGGCTTCGGATTTAGGGCTTAGGGTCTTGGAGTTTAGGGTTTGGGGTTTAGGGTTTAGGGTTTAGGACCTAGGATATGTAGAAAAGTTGAAGTTATGATCTTGTTCTGAGTGTGGTGTGCGGCAGGTTGCAAGGACGTTTCCAGTCCGGAGTATGCTCACACCAATTTCGGGTCTGGGGTTTGGGGTGTAGGGAGGTTGACCTGGGCGACTTTGGGGGTACCTTAGGGTTTAGGGTTTAGGGTTTAGGGTTTAGGGTTAGGAAGTGAAAATGCCGTGAACACGCTTCAGGGACCAAAGGAGGGACCCTTATAAGGGACCTTGGAGGTTTGCTAGGGGCCAGTGAGAGGCTACTTCGGTACATAGGGGCTATAAAAGGATTATAGAGGGGCTATGTAGGGGAACAATATCAAGGTTCCCTTCTAGGGGTCCCTTAGTGTTTAGGGTTTAGGGTTTAGGGTTTAGGGTTTAGGGTTCCTTATACCCCTTAACACTCGACTTCCGAGGCTGATGCCCATCGCACATCGCTATGGTGTGCAGCTGCTTGTCAGGTTTTTGTGGGCCACGCCAGAACAGCCCTAGACCCGAGTCCCAACACCCGAATCCCGCATCCCTAAACCCTAAGCCCGAATCACTAAACCCTAAACTCTAAAGTGCCTTCAGGGTCGTCGGGGTGGCGAGGTGCTACTAGCTTCCTCGAGCCCTTGTGTAAAAATTGGGGAGGTGCAAGTCACTCAGAAGGTTAGGGTTTAGGGTTTAGGGTTTAGGGTTTAGGGTTTAGGGTTTAGGGTTTAGGGTTATAGGTTATAGGGTATAGGGCTTAGGGCTTAGGGCTTAGGGTTGTAGATCTTGAAAAGGGGTTTAGGGGTTTAGGTTTTAAGGTTTAAGTTCTGCACGTACTGAAGATAGCCCGACGACAGGTGCTGAGAAAGCCACTTAGAACCTACCTACCCCTTTAACCCCAAACCCACCACCCCTCCTCTGACCCCAAACCCAACGAACCAAATCCCAAGTCCCAAACTCTTGAAACCCCAAAGCCTACTTATTATAAACCTACCGGCCCTAAACCCGTCTAAACCCTAAACCCTAAACCCTAAACCCTAAACCCTAAACCCTAAACCCTAAACCCTAAACCCTAAACCCTAAACCCTTCGTGTAGACAAGGCTCCGCTGCTGCGGCAACAAGGGCCTGGTGGGATATCCCATCATTCAGAGCGAGGAGGCGTGGTGGCTTGGGTTTAGGCTTTAGGGTTTAGGGTTTAGGGTTTAGGGTTTAGGGTTTAGGGTTTAGGGGTTAGGGGTTAGGGGTTTAGGAGTTTAGGGGTTTAGGGGTTTAGGGGTTTAGGGGTTTAGGGGTTTAGGGGTTTAGGGGTTCAGGGGTTCAGGGGTTTAGGGGTTTAGGGGTTTAGGGGTTTAGGGGTTTAGGGGTTTAGGGGTTTACGGGTTTAGGGTGGAGGGGTGAGGCTTGAGGGTTTAGCCAGGGGCTTTGACTTTGAGTTTAGAGTTTAGGGTTAAGGCTTTCACCAGGGTTTCGACTTTAGGGTTTAGGGTTTCGCGCTCAGGGTTTAAGGAGCGAGGCGGCAGGGTCACATCCAGTGGTCTTTGCGGTGCACTTACCGGTTCCTCATTGGGAACTAGGGAACCCTAAACCTGAAACCAGCCCGTAAAAATCATGATCTACGGCCCACATTCCACAATTCCCGAACAAGAGCCAGTAAGTTTAGTGGCGTTCGGGTCCGAGGATTCAGAGGTTGACTGGCTGGTTACGCTTCGCAACTGTGAAGTCGGGGGTGAGGTAACACCTTGGGGACAGAGTGAACCGAACAGGGTTTAGGGATCAAATACCCTGTACTACGATGAGTCCGACTAAGGTATATGAACCATAAACCCTTTTCGGGTTCATGTGATCCCCAGGGCAGTTTTCGGGTTCAGGGTTGAGGGTATGGATTTCAAATTAGGGTTTTAGGGTTTAGGACTTTAGGGTTTAGGATTTCGGGTTTCAGATTTCAGGTTTAGGTTTTCGGGTTTAAGGTTTAGGGTTTAAGGACCGTACATCCCCCTCTCACCTCCCCCCCCCCCTCCTCGGTGGGCGTAGTGTCTCCCTCCCCCCCCCCCTTTCCCCCGCTCCTCCCCACCAAACCCTCAAACCCCAAACCTCTAAAACCCTAAACCCCAAACCCCCTCAATCCCTAACCCCCAAACCCTCACCTCAAACCCTCAAAACCCCAAACCCTCGAACCCTCAAACCCTAAGCCCCCAATGCCCCCGCAATCAGCCCAACCAAGCCCCCCCGCAATCGCGAGGAGGCTTTGATCAGCGTGGCAAAGAGAACCTTGGTTTAGGGATTTAGGGTTTAGGGGTTAGAGTTCTCCATTTTTCTGAGTTTTTCATATGGGGTTTCTTTCAGTTCAGTTAAAAGCCTATACAGAACGCTTGATGAAGATGTCTGTCAGTTTAATAAAAAAAAAAGCCTGTGCAAGCACGTAGCTGATGTAGAAGCGGTTCTTTTCCTTGGAATCATTGAAGCAAAGGAGTGGTCCCGCAACAGTCCAACGTCCCGGCGACTCGGACAGGGTTTGCCCGACACGAACCCTGAACCCTAAACCCTAAACCCTAATTCCCTAAACCCTAAACCCTAAACCCTAACCCTAAACCCTAATTCGAAACCCTAAGCCCTGAACCCTAACCCTAAACCCTGAACCCTGAACCCTAAACCCTAACCCTAAGCCCTAACTAAACCTTTCCTTACGGGGGGTGGAAGAAGGTAAAGGAGGGGTTTAGGGAGGGGATCATGTAGCCACCAAAAGACCCTTTTGGGTTCAAGAAACTTCCTTATGGAAATTTCTTAGGGGCACCTCTTACATGCCCCACATGAAAATAATCCTCTTTATAAGAATCCTAGGCGAGAAAGGAAGGCCTTATGGGCACAGGCATAGGGTTTTGTGTCACATGGATCTTTTGAACACTCTTAACTCACATGCCCTAGGGCTTAGGGTTTAGGGTTTCGGGTTTAGGGTTTAGGGTTCTCGGCTTCTCGGCTTCTCACGGTTTAGCGTTCGTTCGGGTGTACTGTTTTGAGAAGCAAAACCGAGCGTCAAAGCTCTGATGGGACAAATCCCTGCCCTAAACTTACTAGTTCTTTGGTAGGAACTTCGTACGGATTGCCGTAAACCCCATAGACCCTAAACCCTATAGACCCTAAACACTAAATTACGAGTTCTTAGTGGGGACCCTATATGGGGGGTTTCCGAAATTACGGGTACCTTATTGGGGTCCTTTTTGTATGGGGATCCTACCATGTGGGGATCTATATTGGGGGTCCCTATCATCGTAAACCCCCATATCGGTTCTAAGGGTAAAACCCTTAAGACTGTCCCTAAACCCTAAACCCTAAACCCTAAACCCTAAACCCTAAACCCTAAACCCTAAACCTTAAACCCTAAACCCTAAACCCCAGGAAACCGCTGACCGAGGTCATCGGACAGTCGCGCTGCGTGGATGCGCGACTCGCGGACAAGATCGCCCGGGCGGCTCGGCTCTTGTTGTGGAGCTTATGTCCTGGGAGATTTAGGGTTTAGGGTTTGGGTTTTTTGGGTTTAGGGTTTAGGGGTTAGGGTTTAGGGGTTTAGGGCTTAGGGGTTTAGGGTTTAGGGTTTAAAGGTTTAGGGTTTAGGGATGGGTTCCGGGATCTAAAGGGTTCTATAAAAGGGCCTCGAGGATTTTCCAAGGGATTTAGCCGGTTTCGTTTTCGAGGGTGCAAAGGTTCATCTTGCGCTTGAAGGCTTTTGAGGGTTTTGAGTTTAAGGTTTTCGAGGCGTTGAGGGTTTGGGGTTTTGAAGTGTTTTGCGTGACGGCGTGACGGGGCCTGGTTTGGGGCTTAAATTGCCTAAGGGTCCATGTACCCATATAGTATATACTTGGGGCTTAAAGGGGCTCCCATATGGTAGCTTTAGGACCCTAATATGTACGATATAGGTACATGGACCCCTAGGGATTGCTTGTTCGGGATTAAAACGGGTTCGGGGTGTACAGGGCTTAGGGTTTCATCGGGAAAAGGCTTGGTGGGCCCCAACAAAACTTGAAGGGTTCAGCCGCTGGGAAACTGTGATTTTGTTGGGGTACTACCATCAAGCCCCCTCAACACCAAAGGGTTCGCCATCTCTCCCTAGAAACTCAGAACCCTAAACCCTGAACCCTGAACCCTAAACCCTAAACCCTAACTCCTAAACCAATGACAGCCAATGCCGCCAGGAGAAGGGCCTCAACTGCTCTCTTTCTCAGGCTTTCGCCTCGCTTTGGGGGGAGGATTGCAATGTCGTGGCGTTAAGAGCTCAGGGTCCAGAGCTTAGGCGGTTGGGTTGTTTAGGCTAACGCCCTACCAATTGACCCGCGGTTTTGCTTGTTTTCAGGTCTTTTGGAGTTGTTGCCATGTGTCTTCAGGTCTTTTCGCGTTGTTGCCGCATGTCTTCCGGCGTTTCTTTGGAGTTCGTGCCAGATGGGTGGGGGGGGGGGGGGGGGGGGGGGGGGGGGGGGGTGGGGGGGGGGGGGGGGGATAAGAACGTCATTCATATTGCATGCATGCCCAAAACACTGGTATTTACAGCGTTTTCACCTCTTTGTACAACATACTGCACAAGGATGTGGAAGAAGAAAATCTGAGCCCAAACCCGTCCTGCACCCTCAAGCCTTCATTCACCACCCCAACCACTGCAAGCCCAAAGAAAGCCAGTAGCCATTCCAGCCTCAGCCCGAATCTCAACAGCAGCCCTTAACCCTTAACCCTAAACCCTCAACCCCAAACCCTCAACCCTAAACCCTAAACCCTGTACCCTAAACCCTAAACCCGAAACCCTAAGCCCTCAACACTGAACCCTAAACCCTAAACCCTAAACCCTAAACCCTAAACCCTATCAACCCTAAACCCTATAAACCCGAAGCCCTGCAACCCAAACCCAAAACATCGCCTCGCGAGCTTACAAAAGCTGGTTGAGGGTTTGGGGTTTAGGGTCTGCAGGATTTTCGGACCTAGGGGCTTGAGAAGCGAAGGGCTTTGGGGCTTAAGTGCTCAGTAGTCTCTATAGGAAAGGCTTCAGGGCTTTAAGCCATGAAGCCCTAAACCCGAAACCCTAAACCCTCAAACCCTAAACCCTAAACCCTTGACCCTAAACCCTAAACCCTACACCCCAGGCCCTCAACCCTAAACCCGAAGCAGTGCAAGCCCAAACGTGTCATGCACCCTCAATCCTCAACCCAAAGCACCAAGCAGTGTAAGCCAGAAGTGTCATGCACCCTCAATCCTCAAACCAAAGCCGGAAGCAGTGCAAGACCAGAAGTGCCCTGCACTCTGAACTTTCTACAAAACACCGAAACGCTAGCACCGCTCGAGCAAAAATGCATTTTTCAATCGACAACACTATGACGTTTTCAAGGAACCACATACGAATGCCATTTTTCTCCTGTCTCAAAAGGATTCCCCAGAACAGACCTTGTCAAACCCAACTGCGCGTTTTTCCGAGGAAAAAATACCATTCTGCCCTGTCCTTCCCCACACGCCCCCCCCAAAAAAAAAACAACTAAGCCCCGGAAGCTCCGGAGACGCTACTTTAACTTAAAAAATAAAAAACCCCATTTTATCCGCAAACCCGTGAAAACCTGTTTACGCGCGACCGTGACATGTAACACCAAAACGTGCTTTTCGCCTGGGAAAAACCACTAAAAAAAGGCTTCCCACAACCGCAAACTCGACAAAACATTCGCTCCAAACGTTCGGACGGTGCGCGACATTGGCCCCTGCTATCGAAACAATGTCATGCAGAAATCGTGCTTTTACCTCGACAAAACTAACAAAACAACCCAACAAACCAGCCTGCTACGGCGCGGGTCGTTTCGCGGGGCGTTACCTTGTTTAGGGGTTTACAGATTAAGGTTTGGGGTTCGAAATTGGGGTATCTTATTGGGGTCCTTATAAAAAGGGAATCCTTCTATTTGGGGGCTATTTTAGGTGCCCCTTGTTTTCGTAAACCGCCACATAGTGTCCCTAAACCCACCCTGAAACCTGACAGCCTTGAACCTTCAGGACGGAAAGAATGGAACGGAGAAAGCAAGAGAGAGGGAGAGAGGGAGAGAGGGAAGGAGGGAGGGAGCGAGCCAGAGAAGGCGAGGAAGAGAGAGAGAGAGAGAGGGAGAAGGGGAGACACTTGTGTGAGTGGTAGCAGGAGGAGTCAATTTCCAGGTTTCGGTGCTCATTTCCGAGCTACTTAGGGCTTGAGCTCTATTGCTTGCCATTGGTCTGGCTTTGGTTCTTCAGCACCATCCGTTGAAAGTCATCAAATTGAGGAGCTCTAATTACGGGTTGGGGTTTTGGGTCCCTGGGGTGTAGTGTGACTGGGTTTGAGATTCCTCGGCTTGCAGGAACTCTGAGAGCGGGCTCCTAGCCCAGTGGTCTATGGCCCCATAAGCCAAAAGCCCTGTCCCAAACCCACACCCCTGCTACCTACACCCCGCACTTCAGCTCATCCGTGCAAGGCCCCGGTAACCATGAAACAACCTGCACTCCACAATACCAGGGATTCGGGTTCATGGGGTTCAGGGCTTAGGGTACTCAAAGCCCTAAGCCCTAAACCCTAAACACCCTGAGCTCCCAAAACTCCGAACAGGCACGAACCCAGGAAAGGCTGAGGTGTTTGGGTTTAGGGCTTATGGTTTAGGGTTTAGGGTTTAGGGCTTCGGGGTTTGGGGTTCGGTGTTCGGGGGCTTAGAGTTTTCGATTGGGCTGGGTAGGGCTTTGGGTTCCGAAGCCTTCTATACACCCTCCCTAAACCCTAAACCCTAAACCCTAAACCCTAAACCCTAAACCCTAAACCCTAACCCCCCCCCCCCCCCAAAAAAAAAAAAAAAAAAAAAAAAAAAAAAAACCTAAACCCTAAACCCTAAACCCTGAACAAAAGCTATGTGCAGGCCAAAGACCTGCGACAGCGGAAAGACTGCGAGTGCACCCGCTCGACGGACTTTACGCTGCGAGTGGGTTTAGGCTTTAGGGTTTAGGGTGTATAGGGCTTATCTGGGGCCCTCTTTACCTATCGTTTAGAGGGTATGACCCTGAAAACTGTCGGTAAACAGGGTCCCAGGTAGGATTTAGCGTTTAGGATTTAGGCCGCTGCGCCACTTAACCCCCAAAACCCTAAACGTTCAAACAGTTTCAGGTTGGGATGTTCCCCCTTATACTAACAGTTCTGAATCGGGATTAAGCACCCCCTGCAACAATCCTTATTGAGGGCCGTTAGTTATAAGGGGCAGCATCCGAAGTTTCAGGCTTGGGGTTCATAAAACGTGCAGCCAGTCGAAGCTTCAGGTCCCGCGATTGGCACTAGCAGCTCTGTCAGCGCAGCCTGTAGGTTTGGGGGTTGGTTTATGGTTCACCCTAAACCCTTAGCCCTAAACCCTACACACCACCCCAAACCCTAAACGCTACACCCCCCCCAAACCCCGAACCCCAAAACCCCTAAGAACCCCTGCAAACTAAACCCCTAAATCCTAAACCCCAAACCCTAAACCCTAAACCCTTTCTGGCTCATTGTTTCGTCTCAGGACATCGGCCAGTACACGTTCCAATGCCCTCACGGCTGCCTGCAGCTCCATGCAAAATTGCTCGGTTTAGGGTTTAGGCTTTTGGGTTTTGGGTTTAGGGCGTCTCGCCTCGCAGCGGCAGTAAGTGCCATGTGCAACCAGGGTGTGTGGGCGGGGCGGCATGTCACGCGAAGGCACCTGTTGTCAATGTAATCCAACCATTTCATTGGTGCTGGGTTCTTTCTCCCCACCCGCTGTGAGCTTTCACAGGCCACCACCCAAACCCCTGCCTTTTCGGGTTTAGACTGTCCAGAAACTGACCAGTTGAGGGGGCCAGGGGGCAGGCGGGCCAGGCCAAGGGGGGCCAGCGGGTCAGCGGCCAGGAGGGGGCAGGAGGGGGGCAGGGGGGCCAGGGCGGTCTGGGGGGCCCAGAAAAGGGGTATTCGACCATTTTCCAATGGCTCCACCCATTGTCCATCCAGTGAAGGTGTCCATCACTGCCGGCTAGAAAAGGGTGGGTACGGCCTAAGCAGGCCGAGGGTTTAGGAAACATCTCTACATGTGCTGAAGCCTACAGAACAAGATCTTCTAGATGGGCCCTTGGGACCTGTAAAATCTACAGCACTTTACGAGGATCATATAGGAACACATTTGAGAATATTTTTTAAGGGCCATCCTCATCTTCCTTTCGGGTCTGCGGTTTCGGAGGCCTGGTCTTCCAAAAACTCATAGGGGGTGGGTTGAGGGTTTAGGGTTTAGGGTTTGGGGTTTGGGGTTTGGGGTTTGGGTTTAGGGTCGGATTCGGTGGGCCGAAGCATGTGGGGATTTAGTTCCCTACGGTGTAGGGTTTAGGGCTAGGGTGGAAGTTGCCAGGAGTATCTGATCTGCAGCCGCTACCTGATCAGGACCCTAAACCCTAAACTATCAGGTGCCCCTTGTCAAAGAGTTTGGTCAGCCAGGACACGCTGTTATTTACTTACCCGTACTCCTGTATTTAGGACTTGGGAGACCTCCAAGCCCAACTAAGCAGCAAAACAGGCTTTAGGGTTTAGGCTTTAGGGTTTATGGTTTAAAGTTCCCCTGAGAAACCGGTCATTCGGGAGAAGTCCCGAGCCTCTGAGCACCCCCATATTTAGGGTTTAGGGTTTAGGGTTTAGGGTGTCCAATCCCAAGCGTCCAAAGCACCGAGGTACTGCTACGCCAACCCCATGAAGAAGACCGCCCGGAACCAGCAGCCATCGCAGGCAGAGAGGGGGGGGGAGTCAGGGTCCCTGAACCCAAAACCTTAACACCTTTGTTGCTACTTGGTTGGGCTTGACCCTCTGGGGCGGGAGGGGGGGGGGGCGGGTTTCGGGCTTGTGCGGGGTGTTTTTGTTGTTTTTTTTGCACGAGTTTGGGTTGTTTTTTCCACGAGTTTGGGGTTTCGCTGTGATGTCGAGCCACACTAAATGAACCCTTTGAGGTCATATCGTCGGGGTTTAGAGTTTAGGGTTTAGGGTTTATATAGGCTTTGGGGTAATTTTAACGCTACGCGACCCGCCTCGGCCGGGCCCAGCGCATCCGCGCGAGCATGGTGATTCCGCAGCGCCCAAGTCGCTGGACCCCAAGTAATAAGGGTTGGGTTTAGGGTTTAGGGTTCCGGGTTTATGGTTTGGGGTTTAGGGTTGAGGGTTAGTTTAGGGTTGAGGGCTTAGGCCTCAAGGTTCACGGTTTGGGGTTTAGGGTTTTTTTGGGTTTAGGGTTCAAGGTTCAAGGTTCAAGGTTCAAGGTTCAGGGTTCAGGGTTCAGGGTTCAGGGTTGAGGGTTGAGGGTTGAGGGTTGAGGGTTGAGGGTTGAGACGGTTCGGCTTGGATTGATCGTGGGGTTGAGGCCAGGCCCTTCAAGCAGGAGGGGGGGAGGGGAGGGGAGGGGGGAGGGGGGGGCAGGGTAGGTGGGGGCAGGGCAGGGTGGGGGGGGGACGGGGTGGTGGGGGGGGGGGCCCTCAGGCTTCAACTGCCTCTGGTCCTGGCGAACCGTCCGCTTGCGGACCCCGGTTTCCTAGGGGGGGGGTACCCATTTGAGGCCAAAAAAAGGGTCCGAAAAAGGCGGCTCCCTGTTTAGGGTTTAGGGTTTATATACGCTTGGGGGTAATTCCTATCCAGGGGCTTGGCGCACTGGTTCCCTTTTTTTGGTTCTTGGTCCCCTTGTAAAGTAACCAAACCCAAACAGGGTACCCTTATCATAACATGGTTTCTGGGCCAGCAAGGGTAAACTGGGATTTAGGCGCTTATACTACTAAATAAGAACCATAAAACCCTTTTTGGGGTTCTTGTAGTTCCTCAAGGATGCAGTGTCCGAAACCATGGTGCAGCCAAGCCAGCAACTTGTAAGGAGGAAGCTTTTGATGTTGCGGGTGAATAACCTTAAGGGTTTAGGTTTCGGGTTTAGGCGGGTCCTGAGTGACGAAATTAGGCCTGAAAGAGGTCCGGCTACTTGCTATGGTAGCACAAGGCTCATGATCGTGTACTCAAGTCCTGATTCTCGGTAGCAGCTGTCAATCCGGTTCCTTCCTTAAACCCTAAACCTTTAAACCCTTAAACCCCTAAACCCTAAACCCTAAATCCGGTTCTTTCCCTAAAAAACTGGGCGATATGCCCCCCGCCCCCCCTCCCCCGTTCAATGCAATCACCTTTCTCATGCAGGCAGTCCCCATCTCAATCTCTTTAACCCTAAACCCTACCTGGGACTCTATTTACCTACAGTTTAGTTGTAACTACCCTTGGTTACTAGGCATAACCCATAAAACTCTAGGTAAACAGGGTTCCAGGTACACATTGTAGAGGACAACCCCCCCCCCCCCCGCATCTCAATCCATTCCACCCCCGAAACCCTGAACCCCAACAAGCCTTAAACCCTAAACCCCAAACCCTAACCCCTAAACCCCAAACCGTGAACCCTGAGAAGCTCTGTGAGGTCACTGACCAGGCCCCGATCGCCATGAACGCCATGCCTCCGCGACTCAGTTGCTTCAGGTAGCAGACTGTTCCCCCCTCAGGGTTTAGGGTTTAGGGGGTAAGCACCCTAAACCCTAGATGTGGGTTTACGAAATAAGGGGACCCCTAATATAGACCCCCCCCCCAATGCCAAATCGCAGGATTCCCTTATAATAAGGACCCAAGAGTGTTACCCTTAGCTTCGGAAACCACTAAAATCCTCAACCCCAAACCCCGAACCCGTCAGGCGTACTTGAAGACAGCAGGTTTTGAGTTGACAGGCCTGAGGCTTTGCGGGGTAGGGCTTTTTTTTTGAAATTATAAGTGCCAGTTTTTTTTTGGTGAGCCCTAGGGCGTAGGATTTAGGGTCCCTAAACCCTATAAACCCTAAAACACCTTTGCTCCTGGGCTTTACTGGTGAAGCTAGTTCCTTCTACGAGGGCCATCATGAGAAGCGGTGGTCAACAATAGCAGTGGCACGTGTATTAAGTTCCTTACATTTATTAGAGGAATCTGAAGTAGGGGCCCTCTGGTGCTACAGTTTATACACAGGGGCCATGCGAATGGACCATGCAACTACACTCCCTACATCCTAAGCCCGACAGCCTGCACCCCTTAATCAAGGGTTTCGGGTTTAAGGGCATGATGTTTAAACCTTGAAACCCTAAACCTTAAAACCCTAAACGCTGCACCTTACCACCTTAAACCCCTAAAACCCCTAAACCCCTAAACCTTAAAACCCGAAAACCCAAAACCCCAAAGCCTCAAAAGAAGTCCTCCGGAGGCCGAGCCAGTTCCAGGCCGCACCAGCGCCTCTTCCGCCTCCTTTCGGAGCCTCGCCTTGTCTCCGCGACAAGGGGGATTAGGGTTTAGGGGTTTAGGGTTTAGGGTTTAGGGTTTAGGGTTTAGGGTTTAGGGTTTAGGGTTTAGGGTTTAGGGTTTAGGGTTTAGGGATAGCCCCCCGAAATAGTAGGGTTTTCGAACGAAGGGCCCCAATAAGGTACCCCCTATACTTTCGGAAACGCCCGAATCAGCATTTGTTGGACGTTTCGTCCTTATTCTTTTTTTGGTGTGTGTGTGTGTGTGTGTGTGTTGAGGTTTTTGGCTTAGGTGTTGAGAGTTTGGTGTGTCCATGACGATGAGTTTAGGGGGTATGCAGGGTTTGTGAGGTTGAGGGTTTGGAATTTAGGATTGGGGTGCAGGCATCTTCGGCTTCGAGGAATGAAGGGTTTTGCGGCTTGGGTATATTGAATATGCTGGCTTCCTGTTCCGTATTTGTGAGCCTGCTTTAGTTGGGATTTAGCCTAAACCCTGAAACCTAAATCCCGCAAACCCAAACCCCAACCCAATACCCGAATACCCCCAGACTCTACGAAACCTGAACCCAACAAACGCTAAACCCTGAAATCCGATAAGCCCTAAAGACTGAAGCCTATTCTAGACCTCTTCAGGTCCCCTTTCATGGATAGCCTCAGTAAGGTTCACGTCGGCCCTTGGTTAGACCTTGAGCCCTAAAGCCTGCCCTCCTCTAGTCCCCTCATCGACCTGATACTGTTTTGGGTTTAGGGCTTAGGGATGTTAACGGTTTAGGGTTAGCACTCCTTTCTTACTGACTTAAGGGCCTTACTGCGGGTAGTTGGGGCATCTTGGTATGCAGGTTGGGTTCGAAATCTCGGGTTTAGGGTCGAGGGCCCTAAATCCTACAAGCCAACCCAGCCCTAAACCCCCAAAAGGCTTGGCTTTCTGTAGAGCAATCCTGTTCCGCAAGCGAAGTGCATGCATCCCAACCCTCAACCCTTCAACCGCCTGCATCCCTGAACCGTAACCTCCCTCCCTGAAAAACCCCAAAAGCCAAAATACCCTAAAGCCTGACCCCTAAACCCTGAACCCCAAACCCCACAAAACCCTGAACACGCAATACCCTACGCCGCCAAGAAAAACTCCCAGAACCCTTCCTGGGACCCTATTTGCCTACAGTTTTTAAGGCTTCTACTTAACCATATAGGGATACTTACTGCTAGTCTGTAGGTTAATAGGGTCCCAGGTAACCAAAGCAAAGCAACAAACCCTAAACCCTAAGCCCTAAACTCTAAACCCTAAACCCTAAACCCTAAACCCTAAACCCTAAACCCTAAACCCTAAACCCTAAACCCTAACCTCAACTGAAGGCATGCCCGGGATGCCCGGCATGCCCATGCCGATGAACGCCCCTCCCCCCTTTCCCGCGGCAACGCCCGGCGGCTCCTCGACAAAGCTTGGATAAGGGTTCGGGGTTTAGGGTTTGGGGTTTGGGGTTTGGGGTTTGGGGTTTGGGGTTTAGGGTTTAAATAGGGAATAGGGTTTAGGGTTTAGGGTTTATAGGATTCAGTAATGTTAGGGTCCCATTAATAAACCCCCCCCCCCCCCCCAAATCTTGTTTTGGTCCCCGGGGTTTGGAGGGGTGGAAAAAAAGACGGGGTGCCAATAATGAATTCTGGGGGTCTGGGGGTCTGGGGGTCTGGGGGGGGGTCATCTGTCAGAGCAGACCCAGCAGACCAGTCTGGAGGCAGCTTAGCTTCTCCGTGTGCTTCTTGCTTGAGAGATGAAGCTCAATCTGTTGAAGAGGTTCTAGGTAAGGAAACCCTGCTCTCAGATCTCTGGCGGTTTCCTGAATTCCAGGATCCGAAGGCTGAAGTCTTAAGCTTCAGGGGTTCTTGTCTTGAGACTTAGACCAGGGCCCGAAGGCTGAAGTCTTAATCTTAAGGGACTCCTGTCTTGAGACTTAATTACAGGAAGCCATTTAAACTTAAGGCTTCTTGGTTCCCCCCCCCTCCTCGCCGAATTTATTATTGCCACCCTTTATTATTGTCATTTTGGAGGCCCGTAAGGGGGTACCCTTGCCGGACTTGTTTTCGAGCTCCGGCGGATAAGGATTTTAGTAAGGAAACCTAGCTTTCAGACCTCTGCCGGTTTCCTGAATTCCAGGACCCGAAGGCTGAAGTCTTAAGCGAGACTTAGACCAGGACACGAAGGCTGAAGTCTTAAGCTTCAGGGAGCAGCCCTGAAACAGCAGTTTCTCGCAGCTCTGGAGCTGCAGCCGTAAGTCTTTCACGGCTTCTGTGCTGCTCTGAGAGCAGGGGCCTCCGTAGCAAGGCTCTCTTTCTCAGCCTCTGGGAGCTGCAGCAACCTCAAAAGGCACCTGATACCTGCTTTCTCTGAAGAAACAGCCCTGAAACAGCAGTTTCTCGCAGCTCTGGAGCTGCAGCAATCTCAGAAGACAAGCGCTCTCAAACGAGATCTGCTTCTCTAAAGACTGAGCCTCGGAGCTCTTTCAAGCCAGCTCAGCTGAAAAGTCTTCTCTGCAATGGAACTCTTAAGCGATTCTCAGTAAAATTTTCCATTCCAGGCCGGCAGAATTATATACTTACCACCCTTTATTATTATCATCGCACACCCCAAAATAGACTTGTTTACATACATCGGCCCGAAAACCTCCCGTAATGGAAAGTAGTCTTCGGCTGGACCCCTCTGGCCCGGCGAATTTTAGTATTACCACCCCAATTAAAAATGGGATTCTAACATTATGTAGGGTTCAGGATTCAGGCTACCCTCAAGCTCAGGGTTTCAGGATTTAGGGTGTAGGTTGATCTCGGGCTTGGTTAAGGTTTGGGTTTGAGGCGGGCGGTTCGGTGGGGGGAAGGGATGGGGTGGGGGGGGGGGGGTGGTTTGGAGGGGGGCGGAGGGGGCGGGTGGAATTGGGTTCGGGGAAGCGCAATCGAGGTGACCATTCTTTATGTTGGGCACCGCAGATTATTGTTCTTCAGCAGAACGCAATTCAAAAAAAAATTGGCGCCCCCCTCAGAAAATTCAGTTCTCGCTTCATCCTTCATCTTGGGTGGGGCGGGGGCCTTGACATTTATGGGGGTGGCGCCTTTGGAATGGGCTTGGCGGGTTTACGAGGATCTGTAGAGGATTCTTCATGTGCCTGGCTTCCTTAAGTGTAGTTTTTCAGCCCCTAAATGCCTGAAAAAGCGTCCTAAAGAGTGTTCGGGGTCGCTGAATAACAAGAAAGAGCTGAATGTTCTTCACCCTCACTGCCCTGAATACCCCCTAGACCCTATAATATACCCTAGATCCCATAATTAGCTAAACCCTAAATTCCATACCCTAAACCCTACACCCTAAACCCTAAACCCTAAACCCTAAACCCTAAACCGTTGCAGGCTACATGGCCCCTCCGCCCGCGCATTGCGGTCTGCCAGTGACCACAGGGGGCCTGCCTCCGCCGCCCCCGCTGCCACAGTCGGGGCGTCTTGGAAAAGCTAGCCTGGGTTTTGGAGTACCATATTTTAATATTTTTTGGTTTCGGGTTCCGATGATAGCTACTTATATACACCTAAAAGTGTTTTTTTGGTTCCGGGTTCCTATGATAGGTACTTCTACCTAAAAAGTACATTTTGTTCGAGGGTCTACTCCAAAGTAGGGGCAGCCTTGGGGACCACATGAACCCTAAACATTTTTTGGGGGGTTCAGGGTTTAGGTTTCGTGGTTTTTAAGTTTAGGGGTCATATGCCCTATACTACGACAATAATTCCTATTAAGAATCTATCAGGGTTTCAGGTATCGGGTTAGGGGTTACTTCATCCGTGAACGCCTTTGCGCATGGAAGTTTTAGGTTCACCCTTAAACCTTATAGACCCTAAACCCCACACCCTAAACCCTCTCTTACTATGTATATTTAAACCCTAATGACCTTCGTCGGCAAATGTTTTTTTCCCACCCGGGGGGGGCCCTAAACCCTGACCCCCTTCGTCGGCAAATGTTTTTTTTACACCCCGGGGGGCCCTAAACCCTGACCCCCTTCGTCGGCAAATGGTTTTTTCCACCCGGGGGGGGGGCCCTAAACCCTGACCCCCTTCGTCGGCAAATGGTTTTTTTCCACCCGGGGGGCCCTGAACCCTGACCCCCTTCGTCGGCAAATGGTTTTTTTTTCCACCCGGGGGGGGCCCTAAACCCTGACCCCCTTCGTCGGCAAATGGTTTTTTTCCACCCGGGGGGGCCCTAAACCCTGACCCCCTTCGTCGGCAAATGGTTTTTTTCCACCCGGGGGGGGCCCTAAACCCTGACCCCCTTCGTCGGCAAATGGTTTTTTTCCACCCGGGGGGGGCCCTAAACCCTGACCCCCTTCGTCGGCAAATGGTTTTTTTCCACCCGGGGGGGCCCTAAACCCTGACCCCCTTCGTCGGCAAATGGTTTTTTTCCACCCGGGGGGGGCCCTAAACCCTGACCCCCTTCGTCGGCAAATGGTTTTTTTCCACCCGGGGGGGCCCTAAACCCTGACCCCCTTCGTCGGCAAATGGTTTTTTCTATTTGGGGCATAGGGTTTAGGGCTCGTAGGGTTTGGGGCATAGGGTTTAGGGTTAAATTTTGCTCCCAAAACATCCCAAATGAGGGGGACCCCAGGATCGGCAAGGGTCCCAGTTAAAAATGCGATTTTTTAGTACTGAAATCGACGGTTCTGGGTGGCTTTTCGTTTTCTAGATTTTTGACCAAAACCGAGCTTCACCGGCTTCAGGATTTCAAGTTTTTTCACGTTCTGTCAAGGTTTTTCAAAGTTTTTCAGTGTTTTTTACGGTTTTCCAATGTTTTTCAGGGTGTTTCAGGGTTTTTTAACCCTCAATTCTGATGACGGGCCACCCCGGCGACCTTTTCACAGCCTAGTTTTGGTCAAGGGGGGGTCGTATTTTCCAATTTTAAAGGCAAAATAGTCTTCGGAGACCCCCCCTTGTCTCAAACTCCGACCCCCCCTTGAGAGGGAAAGTTTGCCTCCCACAACACCCCAAATGAGGGGGACCCCAGGATCGGCTTCTGGATTTTTGACCAAAACCGAGCCTTCACCGATCGAGACTTCTCAACCGTAGGGTTTAGGGCCCTAAGAGCATAAAGGGCTTATTGCGGGCCTTAGATTAGATTTCGGGTTTTGGATTCGTTAAAAATGGGTTCGTTAAAAACCAAAATATATTGGACCAATTGGACTTTGAGCTTTAAGCCTACCGGGAAAGTATTGAGTGAACTTTATATTTTCTCAATGTTATGGGTTTCTTGGGTGGGTGGGATTTCTTTCCAACGCTTGACAAGCTGCTTGACTAGTGAATGCTCGGACTTGAGATGCTGAACCCTAAACCCCAAACCCTACACCCTAAACCCTAAACCCTAAACCCTAAACCCTAAACCCGGAGAGAGAGAGACAGAGAGAGACTCAAGGTTCCCCATCCCACAGATGGGCTTGCCGACGCTGCTCATGTTTCTTGGGGGCAAGAACTTGGTGCTGGGGGGTTGGGGAGTTGGGGTTAAGGGTTAAGGGTTCTGGGTTTAGGGTTTAAGATTCAGGGTTTAGGGCTTAGGGTTTAGGGTTTAATGGTGCTGGGGAGGTTGGGGAGTTGGGGTTTAGGGTTTAAGGTTCAGGGTTTAGGGTTTTCGGGTTTTTTTGGTTTAGGGTTTAAGGTAACCGCACCTTGTGTACATAAGAGGGTTGGGGGTTGGGATTTAGGGTTGAAAATCAGGGTTTATAGGGTTTACGGTTTGTGGAGTCTGGGGTGTCTTAGTTTAGAGACATAGATTGCGGGTTTCGCTTTCGAGGCTGAGGCTTAGGGCTAAACTTAGTTGCGCTGCAGGCATGTACTTGCCCTCAACCACAAGCCTTACTCAGGCTTTGTTTAGGGTTCAGGGTTAATCCTTCTTTGCGGCCAAGAAAGGCCCTACCAACCACTCCCTAGACTCCCGATAGACCCTAATCGCCTTAAACCCTGACCTATCTGCAAGGCTCCGACTGTACAAGCGAAACCTGCGTCCTACTGGTTCTTGGTAGGCAATGAAGGTATTACATACCTTATATCCCCTTCTTTTGTACACACACACATACACACACACACACATACACACACACACATATATATATATATATATACATACATATATACACATATACACATATACATATATACATATATACATATATACATATATACATATATACATATATACATATATACATATATACATATATACATATATACATATATACATATATACATATTAGTATAAATATAAATATCAATACAAAAATAAATAAATAAATAGAACTATATATATATGTATATATATATATATATTTGTCCCGAAGGGTTTCGACAGGGTCCGTATACTTAATTCCCTCAGCCGCTAGGAAGGACCAGTAGGACCTTGGGGGCCACGTCTGAACTCTTAGCCCAGACGAAGAGGCCCGAAAAATACCCCGGACTAAATGAACCCTAAAAGGGTTTATGGTTTTTATACCCTAATAGGAATTATAGTAGTATAGGGTATATGACCCCAGTTTTAGGGTTCATTTCGTCCCCAAGGTAAGGTGCCTTTTTCAAAAAAACATCTTGTTTCCCTTTCTTTCAACCACACCAAAGGCTTGGTCTCCGAAGATCCATTGTAGGAGGGTTTAGTTGCTGTTCATTTTTGGGGTTTCGGGTTTAGGGTTTAGGGTTTCGGGTTTCGGGTTTAGGGTTTAGGGGTTTAGGGTTTAGGGTTTAGGGCTTCGGGTGCCTTTTAGGGATTTCGGTGCCCGAAGGCAGGCGTACAAGTTCCCCTTCCAGCAGCCCGGCGGTAGCTACGCAGCGCCGGAGCAGTCTCAGAAGGCGAACTGCCGGTTTAGGATTTTAGCACTAGCCACCAAGCTAAGCATCCCCAAGGCCATGATTCCTAAACCATAAACCATAAACCCTAAACCCTAAACCCTAAACCCTAAACCCTAAACATGCCCGAGCCAAAACTATGCCTCAGGCCTTCGAGCTGATAAGCTTAGAACGCCGATGATGTAGGAGTTGATATAGGGGTCCGAGTAATTGCTAACAGTGTTCCCTTATGGTCCCTATATAAATATACTAGTCACCCCCCAAAAAAAACCAAAAAACTATTCTAATTATTAAGGCCCCTGTGGTAGGCAGGCTCGCAAAAGACAGGTTCAGGGTTCACCGGTTTATGGAAATTACTCAGAGTGAAGAGTCGTGGAAAGTATGAGGAGTTCCTGAACCCTAAACCCCAACCCAAAACCCTAAACCTTCAACCCTAAACTCTAGCCCTAAACCCTAAAGTCTAAGACATTCTCCAGCTACAGGAGAGTTTGGGGCTTCAGGCCTCGGGCCCCAGAATCCCTGAACGAAGATGTCCCGAAATCCTAAAATCCCCAATGCCTTGCGGTTTAGGGTTTAGGGTTTAGGGTTTAGGGTTTAGGGTGTAGGGTTTAGGGCGTAGGGTGTAGGGTTTAGGGTTTAGAGTTTAGGGTTTACTCACCACAACCCCTCCAAAGATCTCAAAAGCCCCTATGATCCCCTGCATGCCAAACCGCGCCGTACCTCCCTGGGTGCCAACAGTCGCCGACATCCCGAAACCCTAAGCTCCCTAACCCTAAACCCTGAACCCTAAATCCCGAAAATCCCTGCACCGCTACCGCTGTGCACTGGCTATGGAGCGAGGGTGAGAAGCCCTAGAAGCCCACCTAAACCCCTAAAAAAAGGTCCAAAATTCCTGATCGCTAAGCCGCTAAACCCCTAAAAGTCTCCAAAATCCCCAGATATCCCCCAAACAGTCCTTGAAGCAGGGCGTCGAAATCCAGCCTGGCCAATGATCCGGATGCTGTCTTCCTGCCCCTTGGCGTGGAGGCTCCGGGGCTCCCCCCCAACCAGGGTTTAGGGTTTAGGGTTTAGGGTTTAGGGTTTAGGGTTTAGGGTTCATTCAGGGTTCAGGGTGCAGGGTTAGGGTTTGTTCGGGCTTTGAAAGGTGTTTTAGGGTTTTGGGTTTTTTTCGGGTTTTGGGTTTGGGGGTTTGGCGTTTGGGTTGTTTGGGTTTTCTTTCGGGCTTTTGGAACGTTCAGGGTTTCCGAAAGGGGCGGGGGGTGGGGGTTTTGTAGCCCAAGGTGTCCTAGTACTCCCCACTACCCCCTAAGGCTCCCCAAGCTTCCTGAAGGTTCCCCAAATATACCCGCCCCCCATGCGCCGCCCACTAAACCCTAAATTAAACCCTAAGCCCCTCCTGTAACTAACTAGGAATACTCGCGCGAGACTGAGACATTCGTTTAGGAGCCACCTGCATTCCTCTTTGCCTACAGTTTCATGGGCTTTACCTACTAGTTGAGGGTAGTTACTACTAAACTGTAGGTAAATAGAGTCCGAGGTAAGGTGCCCATACTCTCCGCGGGAATTGACAGGGTTTCGTAGTCCAGAAGGCCCCTCCAAAACACCATTTTTGGTAAGGTTTTGGGGGTCCGGAGGGTGTAGGGTCTAGGGTTTAGGGTTTAGGGTTTAGGGTTTAGGGTTTAGGGTTTAGGGCGGAGCGCCAGAGTCGCACCACAGCTGCGATTTTCTGGGTTGCTGTTTATCTCAAACCCAAGGTAACATTACACAATCTTGGTGCCTACCCTAAACCCCAAACCCCAAACCCTAAACCCTAAACCCTAAACCCTATGGTTCTAAATGGTGCTGAGTTTGGGGGGCCCCAGGGTTAGGGCCCACTGCGTAGGTTCAGAGCTCCAGGGTTCAGGGTTTAGGGCTTGGGGTTTAAGGACTTAGGGCTTAGGGGTTGTGAGTGTAGGGCTGAAGGCTTTGGGTGTAGGGTTTGGTTTAGGGTCAACATAGGGCGTCTCGGCGCGCAGCGGCAGTACATACCATGCAGGATCAATTTCCCAAGCCCCTCAACCCTAAATTCCCACCCGGGCCTGCCTAGGCCGTACCCACCCTGTTCTAGGTTCGCTTCTGGGGCTAGTTGCTGCTGTCTTTGATGGTGCCTAGGGAGCTTACAGGGAGTTTAGGCTTTTTCGGTTTCTGGGACTTAATGTTGGGTTTAGGGTTTAGGGTTTAGGGTTTAGGGTGTAGGGTGTAGGGTGTTTCATGCTCCTCATTACGTTTGTTGGGTTTAGAGGGCTCAGGGTTTGCAAGGTTTCTAGGGTTTGAGTTGGGCTGACACTCTTCTGTGGGGCCCGTTGCACACCCTGAAGTTGGGCAAGTTGAAGCGTTAAGGGTGTGGCATGTACAGGGTTTAAGTCGTGTCCCTGAACCTTAAACCCTAAACCCTAAACCCTAGACCTTGAACCTTAAATCCCCAAAGCCCGAAGTAGACGCCTCCCGAGAGTGACAGGTGCAGAATTCCAACGAGTGACCCGCCGGATGGTACTCAGCTCTGTCTGTATCGCGGAAGGCATGGCCCACTTTTTCGATTCCTTGGTAGCCCAGTGGTACCCTGAAGCCTAAACCCTAAACCCTGAACCCTAATCCCTAAACCCTAAACCCTAAGCCCTAAACCTAAAGCCTTTTTTTTGGTTATGGGTTCCCTTATCAGGTAACCACCCCAAAAAGTCTTTGGATCGGGTTCAAATAGGACAGGTGTCCTTCAATGCTCAAAGCCCTGAAGCCTAAAAAAGAGTGTCGGCAGTGCAGGGGTCCAGGGTGTTGGAGTGTTTCGGTGAGGCTATTCTACAATTAAGAAGAACAATCAATCAACCCGCCATGTATATATGTATATGCATATCATGCATCTATTTGTATATATGTGTGTACGTATGTATGTGTATATATATATACCCTATCATCTTCAGCTTACTTTAGTTAATTATTGGCTTCAGGATTTTCAGTTTCAGGGTGTTGGGGTTTGAGGCTTTTGGGTCTTTGGGGGGCTTTAGAGCTTTAGGATTGTCGGGGTTCAGGGTTTGAGGTAGGTTTAAGGCTTAAGGTTTTCGGGTTGTAGGGTAAACCCGGGCGGAGTGCACGGATTTGGCCTCAGCCAATGGAGGAAGGTCGGAAGGTCAGGTGCTTAGGGTTTAAAGGCAGACCCTAAACCCTAACCCTAAACCCTGAACCCTGAACCTTGAACCCTAAACCCTAAACCTAACCACATCTAATCCCCTACACCCTAAGCAGTCAGGGTACAGACCTCCCAGCCCCGGACCCACAACCCTATGCCCCAAGCCCACTAAGTCCCAGCACTGAATAAACCATCGAGGGCCCTTTTTTCACTTTGTAGGGGGCCAAGGTCAATTAGGGTTGGGGTTCAGGGCTTAGGGTTTAGGATTTAGGGTTTAGGGTTTAGGGTTGGGGTTCAGGGTTTAGGGTTTAGGGTTTAGGGTTTAGGGTTTAGGGGTTTGGGGTTTGGGGTTTGGGGTTTGGGGTTTGGGGTTAAAACCTACAGGTTTTAGGTTTCGTAGAGGGTTTACATGAAGCCTTGTGTGTATGTCTGGGGCTTAGGGCATTGGAAACCCTAAAACCTAAACACCAAATCCGACATCCTGAGACCTAATAATAAAGGGCCTTAATAGTTAGAACAGTGTTTTGGTCATCATAGCATATTTATATAGGGGCCATAGTGGAACAGTCTTAGCAATTATTCCGACTCCCCTATATTATGCAGAGGCCTTGCCGTGCGGTTAGGATAGTGCTGCTCCGCATCTGTCAATTCGTCGCGCCTGCCGTTGCTGGCCACGCTGGGGGCGACTGCTTCTGACCTCGAGCCTGCCGGCAGCAGTCGAACTCGAAGCTGTGAACCCCAAATTTAAACCCTAAACCCTAAACCCGAGACCCGAAACCCTAAACCCTAAACCCTAAACCCGAAACCCTATGCAGCATGGTCATGCCAAGGGTCCGTAGCATTCCGGGTTCTGGGTCGAAGGGTGGCTGTCGTTTCCACCGCGAAGGCAATTTTTGGGGCTGAGGGCTTAGGGTTTCGGGTTTAGGGTGTAGGGTTTAGTGCTTAGGGCTTAGGGCTTAGGGCTTAGGATTCGGGGTTCAGGGTTTAGGATCTTGAAAGCCCAGTGGTGCCATTTTTTTGTTTTCAAGGCTCCCTTGTAAAGTAACCAACCCCCCAAAAAAGGGCACCGTTGTTGTAACAAAGGGGTTCAGGGTTTTGGGCCAATTCATGTTCTCAGCCCCTAGATGCGTTCCAGCCGGCCGAAAGCCTAAACCCTAAACTTTAGGGTTTAGGGTTTAGGGTTTGGGGTTTAGGGTTTAGGGTTTAGGGCTAGAGGCCAGCCGCAAATCCAGCGACCAAGGATTGCAATTGGCTTCCCGTGACGGTCGCGCCGAATCGGAGAGATGGTATCGTATAGGGTTTAGGATTTGGGGTTTAGGGCCTAGGGTTTAGGGCCTAAGGGTTTAGGGTTTGGGGTTTAGGGTTTAGGGGGACCATGGAACCCCCATGGAACCTCGATGCGTCAGGGATTGTAGGCTTTTTTAGTTTAGGCTTTGGGGTTTATGTAGTGGTTTTTTGGGATATAGGATGTATACGTAAATATAGGGTGTGCATATATATATATATATGTATGGTAAATAGACAAACAAAGACAGAAATATATAAATATATACATATATATATATACACATATGTATATACATGCGTGCATACATACATACATATGTATCGGGTATATATATAGGTATACAAAAATAGAGGGTGTGTGTATATATGTATATGGGTGTGTGTGTGTGTGTGTGTGCTTATCCTCGTTGCTAGCCAACGTGCTCGTTTGGAAGGTGTCGGGAATTAGCACCCTTACTAGGCAAGTCTCAGATGTTGGTTTCCCGAGTTGAGTTGGGTTGGTCAGTGAAATCGGAGGTCGCGCTATTTGAAAAAAGGTTTGTGTTGGGGTTGGTCAGAATAATCGGAGGTCACGTGTACATCTTATAAATACTACTTTAAAAAAGGTTGGGGATGCTTTTCTGGGAGCCACATCCCAGAGGTGAACAAAATGCACATGTTTCGGATATACTGATAGGGTTTAGGGTTTAGGGTTTAGGGTTTAGGGTTTAGGGTTTGATGCAACATAATTGGAGGTGGTCAGCGGTGACTTTTAAAGTCTTACTGCTTGAGTGGCAGGAAATATTGGAAGATAATGACGGACATCTACTGGGACAACCGGTGCGCTAACAAAAGTAGCTATCATTCATAATCGGGCTTATTGTTTTTTGTATTTAGGAATGATTATCAGAACCAGGCTTGTTTTGTCATGGTGTGACCTAGGGCTAGCGGCTCGTTTTAAATTCATCGGATAGCTACGGCAGCAACGACAACAACATGTCCGTCTCGAGCGCTGAGGCTGCCATCACTTCCCCGGGTTTAGGGTTTAGGGTTTAGGGTTTAGGGTCTCCAATGGGAGTCCTTCGAGGTTGAAAACCCCGGATATCCGAACATGGGCAGGAACAAACCGGTGCAAACCGGTGCAAATCTATCTATCCATCTATCTATCTATCCATCTATCGAGCTATCTATATATATATATATATATATATATGTATATATGTATATATGGATGGTTGTTTTTTTAGATTCATGTGGTCATTGGGGTGTGTATACATACACATGCAGGGCTGTAGGGATTTAGGATTTAGGGAACCTCCAAGTCGTCACTGAACCTCGTAGGGCTGCAGACTGAGAAGGCCAAAGCAGGGTTGACGGTTTTTCAGGGCTTTGCTTTTTTTGGTTTAGGGTTTAGGGTTTAGGGTTTTGGGTTTGGAGGCTGCAGGTCCCTAAACACCAAGACCCCCCCCGCCCCCCCCAACCCTAAAACCCTGAACTCCAAAAATCCCTGAACCTGAAACCTTAAAACCGCTACTACCTCAAACCCTAATTTGAAAATCCCTGAAC